GTGGGGGAACAGTTTATGCCCAAACACCGGGTTTTGCAGTTTTTCCCTATGACGAGAGGGTAATATTTTCTGAGCCGTCTATGTTTATCGACACTTGAGTTTTCCCCTGCACTTTTTTTTGAAGACTATCCCATTTTTTTTCTTAAAATTTGTAAGCCACCCCTCGCTAGCCAAAAACTGTTTCCCTAATTTTTGGGAATGCTTTAGCCTTTTCCTTCAATAAAGAGCCACCCATCGGAATAATTGAAAAAGTAAAACTGCAAGACGTGAAAAATTCCCTTTTACTAACGCGCTTTTCACTCTACCGAAGAGCATTAAGATTTTTTTTTTATTCTTCAAAATAGTGGAGCGAGCTCAGTGGGATTTCAAATCTTTGGTTACATCGACTTCCCTTCCCCTTTCTTCAACTGATTCTATCACCTTTTGCTTTTCAGAAAATTTTTTAACTTGTACTTTTTTAAAAAAGCATGTCGTTCCTTTCGGTGATAAGTCGACCTGGGGGGAGGGTGTGTAGTGGCCCAAGGTTTATCAAAAATTTAAAGGGTAGGAAACGTAAATCACCACAACAAGTAAAATAATATTTTTAATTTAAAATTTGGAATCTAAAATAACACAAGACATATTCACAATTCCCCCTCAGCTACGGGGGATACTTAACCCCGGTCACTGCGCCTGTTTTTTTACCGTCGTTCCGGGGTGTAGAGAAAACCCCCAAAATTTAAACACGTGTATTTAATTATGAAAATAAAATTAAGTCATTATGATACATATTTATAAAATACAAATGTTTATTTTATTATACAAATAAAATTATTAAAATTTTTTTGTATACAAATGGATTTTAAAATTAATTTAAACTAAATATACAAAATTTTTTTTTAAAACACATAATTATATATTTTTTCATAAACCGTATAAAACGTATATACCAGTAATAAATATACTTTATAATTAATGAGATAATATAGTATAAAGTAAAAAATTTTATTTTTAATCATTTTTAAACATTCAGAGCAGACTGTATACATATGCTCAACTTTGCGGAGTTCTCAGCCCCCAGATAAACCTTTGAAGGTCATTACATTCCAATCGTTCGAGAAAAAAGGGATGGCATCAGGCCGAAATTTCAATGACCTAAAAGTCGCTACAGAAAAAAAGGGGGTTTTGCGTATTTTTTTGAATCCTGGGGTGATTTTCTTGTTTCTGGGGGGTACAGAAACCCCCGCGAGTGATCCCGGGTTAATAGCAGGGGGCGACAACTATGGCATTGGGGAATTTTTGGGGGATTACCACTTATTTTAAAAAAAAAAAAATAAAGCAAATCTTCTCCCCCTTTCTTTCCCACATTTTTTATAAAGGTTTTATTTCTCGCTTTCAATTTCTGCCATAAAACGATTCTGCTGAATTATCTTATGTAGTTTGAGTGCTTTATTTAAAAAACATCTGTTTTGACACAAATTTGTAATAAAACTAACTCAAATCAAAATTATTTAATACTTGTAAGAAGGGGCTTCACTATTACCCACAGTGAATAAAAAGCAGTTTTCCTTTATCCGTCTAAAACTTGGGTATAACGGGAAAAAAAAAGGAATAAATCAAAATTTTGCAGTAAATATGGGAAAAATAATAAAAAAAAGCTCTTGGGATAATTGGTACAAGAAATAATCTAACTTGATAATTTGAAGGTTCGAATTATCGAGAGTTTTATAGGATAACTTCGAATTATCGCGTGTTGTAGTCTGGCCAACCACAAATTTTACTTCGAAATATTGAGAGTACCAAAACGTATGGTTTTAGTTCGAAATATCAAGAGTTTTTCTAGGGGCTGAGCATGTACTTCGAATTAGCGAGAGGTTCATATTATCGAAAGTTCGAATTAATGAGAGTCGACTGTATATATATATATATATATAAAGGCTTTGCTCTTGTGTCCTTCATTGTGTGGTTTTTTTACTGTCTATGTGTTTTTCGATTTTGATATTGATGGATATTCATCTCTCGTTTATAGAGAATTAGACTATATATATATATTGAAAGGTTGGATGAAATTGCTTGGCTTTTTAAAATAGCGTGATTCTCATTAGAAGTTGTTCAGGTATCACCACTTTTTTAAGGAATGGGCCATAAAAAGAAATTATGTTCCATTGGGGTAATTAAATGCTGCAATGGTTGAGAGGTCATAGTCACGAATTCACGACAAGCATTGCTTGCATCGAGTTGCGGATTCCCTTCGAATTGAGCAGTTGATGCTTGTTCAGTCAGTCAAGGAACAAAATCATTTCTATGGCGTTGAAGTGAAGTACGGAGTGGGATGTGTCGGCTTGGGTGTCATTGTCGAAAATTAATAATGACTGAAAACCCCGCAGTTCGTGACATATATCATGCAATGTTTTTAAAGTACAAATATAATAGTGAATTAATCGTTCCAGATGTAACATTAATAAGTATAACCAATTAAGCCTTGTTTAATTATGATTGATACAAGTTTACTGCGTTTCATTCAATAAAAATACTTAAAATATATAATGCACTCTAGCTAAACGGCATGTGGCGGGTATCAACGTCTACCTTCCTTGTTCGGATTTCAATGTGGCCCAAGCCGCTCCAGCCCACATCTTGGCTTGTATAGGTTGCAATAAAAGCAGGGGCGTAGCTACCGCCGTATCAATGATACGGGGCCCCCAAGCTACAGGGGCCCCAACATGTGTAAATACAGTCGCAATAACAGAGCTCCCATATCTAAAAAAGGGCCCGAAAGATATTTGATACTGGGCCCCCTCAAAGCTAACTACGTCAGTGCATAAAAGTCAGCTGCTCTGAAGTCTTGCTACAGTTCTTCACTGTTTAAAATATACGGGTTCATGAACTTGATCTATATGTTTCTGTCAATTAAGTGGAATAAGAAACAATAACATGAATATGTACCCATTATCTCAGGTTATTAAAGAGGCAAAGCCTTAAGTCAATGACAAGAAAGCTAGCTTTATTTCCAGTCGATGTGTGTGTCTTCTCTGCTATCATCTTTCCTATTTCGGGACAGGGTCTTTTTCCACTTTATTACATATTATTATGTGCCGATATATTGGCAGGGCCACACACGAAAACGTTAGCTGCGGGCCACGAGTTTGACACTTCTGATGTAGATGATCTGACGATATGAAAGGAGTTTCGGTGTGTTTCTTGCCTCCTTTTAATGACCAAAAAGAGTAATTTTCGTCGTTGAAACTATTAATTTAAGAGATAAATTACTTTTTAAGGAATTATGACCACATGTCTATTTGTATCACAGCAAAGGATTTGTCCATTGTAATGTTATTGATATTATGATTATGTTTACTGTGATTTTTATTATTTTTACTTTTATTATTAACAAATTCGCTTCTTTCTAAATACAATTGTTCGAAGACACAAGGGCGTTCTTGGAAATGAGTGGGCCGATTGGCTTGCAAAGGCTTCAACCAAGCACAAAATTAACATTACCGTTAATATTCCTAACTCATTTTACAAGAATATTATGCAAGGAAGAATGGTGAAGTCTTGGAACCAAGAACATCTCACTTCAAATAAAAGGAGCTTGACAAAATTTTTTTTCCAACCATTAATGAGAGGCTGGCCTGCCATCATTTTTATACTAATTAGAAAATAACCCGATTCCTAATGGGTCACGGCAACTTTAAAATCTACCTGAACAAATTTAATTTAGTTCCGCCATCTTCTTGTGATTGTGATATTGGTGGTGAAGAAAATGTAGAACATGTGTTCCTTTTGTGTTCCAAGTTTGAAAGAAAACGTAACATCCTTAGACAGGATTTCAAGAGACTTAATATAAATTGGCCTCCGAATCTTCACCAACTTATTTCTACCAGAAGTGTTTTTTTAAATTCATTGTAAATATTCGTAATCTTTCATGACGTTATTTTTTACCCTTTTCTTTGTAATATGTGATTATAATTGCTTTTTTAAGCTTCATGTGATACTTTGCGGTGAACGGAGATTTTATAATTATTTTCAATATATATATATATATATATATATATATATATATATATATATATATATATATATATATATATATATAATATATATATATATTATATATATATATATATATATATATATATATATATATATATATATATATATATATATATATATATATATAAAATTAAAACCTGCATTAATTATTAGAATTAATTTTAAAACTTAACAGTAAATTGAAACTTTCTCGTAGTATACTATGAAGAATACTATTTAGAAATAACCAATGCATTGAGTTATAGCTACAAAATAATATATATATAAATACTTACATTCAACATTAACTTGAATTGCTGCTCTACTTGTTCCTTTTATATTTGACGCTTGGCAAGAATAATTTCCCGCATCAGTTCTTTTTATTCCTTGAATGAACAGATTTGCCCCTTCGCTGAGCACATTGGGAGAGTTTAATATTTTCTCGTCTTGAAACAACCAGAACGTTCTGGAAGCTACAGGATTGGAGCGTATGTTACAGATGATTGTGACATTGCTCCCTTCTGTAATCGAATTTGAAGAAGCATGGATATCCATCATTATTTCTGGTTTATCTGAAAGGGAAAAAATAATTGAATTTGATTATTAATTAGATGTCTTACAGAGCTAAATATAAGGACTTATTTAATAAAACACGATTCTACATAACAAAAAAGAATGCTTTTTCCAATTCCTACTATTAGTTTTTCTCTCTTTCTCTGTATATATATATATATATATATATATATATATATATATATATATATATATATATATATATATATATATATATTATATATTTTCTTCAAAATTTTCAATTGGTAAATAAGCACTTTTTATTCATCCTCTCAAGTTCAAATACATTTTTAAAATCTTATGGTGGATGACACGTTATGTTAATACAGTTTTGTTCAAATATTAATTAATTAGTAGTAACAAACAAAAATAATAGTCCAACACTATATATAAAAAGGAAAATCGCTCGTTGAGCCCCTGTAGCGCAATGGCTTGTACGTTGGATTTCTAATCCAAAGTTCATGGTTTCGAATTCTATCGGGGATATTCTAATTTCTAAGAATGTGATTTATGAATGAATAAATAGGAACAAACAAAAATAATAGTCCAACACTATATATAGAAAGGAAAATTGATTTCTATTTTGCCAGTTAATATTGTGATTCTGTCATACGTGTATACATATTTATATTAATTGTAATTATTTAATAAAAAGTAACTAAAATAAATTTTTTTTTGACCTAAAAAGAATTGATTTTTATTTTATTTTTTTTAATAATTGTAATTATTAAATTTCATTTTAGTCGGGAATTTCTGCTTTGTGTGTGAGAATTCTAAAAAAGACGTCGCAGAAATACAACTTTCTTTTTTGGGTTCAGATGTTTGAAAAGAAGGGGGAAAAAAGAATTTAACTTCAAGGATATATCTTTTCTCTGAGCAAACATCTGTCCTCCAAAAATCTCACTTCAACAAATTTGATCTAAAATCCCCTGAGAGATTCATACTAGCTTTTAAAAAAAAGAACCACGATCTGTTATTAAAGAGACGGTGGTTATATTATTTGCAGTTCAACTCAGAGATATTTCGAAACCAAAATGAAAAAAAAAAGTGATGCATAAAATATTACTATTTTTCATAAAGAAATCAGAACTTATAACATTTACGAGTAAATCAAAAATGTAAAAGCTTCAAAAAAAATTTTATAAGTTTTTTATGGAGGTTGTTTGATACAAACTAAGGTAGATTTTTAGTCATTCCACGCATAAAAAATTACTATTGGATAATAAAGTCTAAAGAAAAGAAAAAAAAAAAGATTTATGTCGACGATAAGTATTTATTACTTGTAATTATGTTGGAGCAACAAAAAAATAAATGATTCTGTCTTCAAATACAAAAATAAATAAATCTTAATGTAAAATCACTTTAAGTTGGAAAAAAAAATCAAGTAATTTTTATTATGACAGAGTTGAGCTGCATAAAAAATTATTGCTTTATGATTTTTTAGATTACCTAATTTTATATATACCCATCTTTGAAACAATATCAAAACAAAAAATTGTTAAAATATTTATACGGTTTACACTGGGTAAAACTTAACAAAGGGGTTTATTGCCATAACTTCAAGAAAAAATCATCTGAGAGAATGAAGCTCTGAAATGAGGGGGGAGTATTTTTAAAAGGGTGCAGATCGGCGGTGAAAAAGGGAAAAAACGCAAGGTATTTAATCAAAAAAACAAGCTTTATTGAACGCATAATATCGTGACTCGATTGTCATAAAAAAGGAAAAAACAAGCGTGTTCCTTAATATGGTATATGCCCCTCTTCTACAATGGTTCGCACCTCTCCGCATCTCAGAACCAGTTGAAACATTTTTGGGGGGGGAGTGCCCATTCCTCAATCAACATCTTTTGGGTTTTTGGTTTTTTCTCGGGTGATGAAGCGTGTGGAATGCCCCCAAAGTACACATGTTCGATGGGATTTAAAAGGGGGGCACGCTGGCCAATCCATTTGAGTGATATTTCCTTTCGTCCCCAACAGCAAGAGTGCATTTGGGGGGCATTGTCATCCAAAAAATAAGTCGGGGCCCGGATGGGAAAGACATGGGGAAGAAACCCCCCACGCGATTCCCTTACAGACCCTCTGTCAAAAATAAACTCAGTTCGCCCGTTCAGCATAATGCCTCCCCCGACAAAAACTCCAGGACCACCGTAACGGTGTCTTTCCTTGATGTTACTAGGATAAAACCGGGTCCCGATGTCTCTCAAATCAAAACGCGTTGAGAATCGCTTCTGGTACTAAACCGACTCTCATCCGTAAAGAGGACATGACTCCATTGATCAGTTGTCCAGTTTTTGTGCTCTCTGGCCCACTTTCAACGGGATGCAGCGTTCAGGACGGCGGGCGAACAGGCTCCCTTTGTGAAGGTGTCTGGCCACCACTTGTCAACCCGTTGCTGTACAGAGTTTCTGAGCAATGGCGCTTGCTGACTGCTGTCGACCTCTTTTTCACTTGCAGGATGTTATATCGGTCATCCCTTGCGGTTGTCGTCCTCGGGCGGCTACCACCAACTTAACTTTCTAACAGCTGTACCTGTGTTTTGGAACGCTTTCCAAGCGCGCGAAACAACACTTTGTTGATTCGAACTCTGCGCTACGCACTGGTGTCAGTACGCCCCTCCTCCAGCTTTCCGATCATTCTTCCACGTGTGAGAGTCGTTCAGGTGATTTCTTCTAGCCATATTTCACGAACTGACTCACTGGCACTTGCAGCGAATATGTTGAATTGCGTCTCCGTCCTTCATTTTATTCTACTGTTGAGTAGCGCGCGCCGACATCACGCGTTTTGCGTACGCTTACATCGCTTCTGACGTTTTGTTCCTGATATTTGCATACGCATGACGTTTCTACTGACTTACGTGTTCACTGTACTGATCTCCAGACCTCCTTTTCTGCAATTTCATGGCTATATGCTAAATTTTTACATTGTTGCTTAAGTTTTGCACACCAGTGTAGATGAGAATAATATTTTACCTAGATTAATTGATTATAAACTAATGTAAAAATACTTCATTGATCGTATTTAATATGATACAATAGTTCTATTCATTTAAAATTGCATCATCTGTGTTGGTATCTAAATAAGCCAGTAACTGCCTCAGTACAGGGGTGATCACGTTTGTCTAGGGTTACTGGGCTTCGGATTCACTGGTCAAGGGTTCTGTCCTCCGGATAAACACCACTTCACATCTTCACATGTTTTCACTGAAACACGTATGACAGAGTTTCGTACTTATTGAAGAAATATGCACAATTAGTTTAATTTCAGAAAAAAATTAAATAAAGTTGATTTATTCTAAAAGAAAATATTTTTACAAATTGAATGCATTTTCAAGAAAAGCATTTAAAAAAAATAACCGGAACCGTGATTTTGCAAAAGCGTATAAATGGATAATATTTATGATATTTAGTGTCACTTAGATTAGAAAATGTATATAAAATTATTTTAAGAATAGTATTACAAATTTTTTTTATTTAAGTACAATATTTTGACAAACAATGAACATAAAATGACACATTTTTAAAATATTCCCCTTTTGAGAAAAATGCTTTATTATAATTTAAAATTTTGCCTGTATATAGCTCAGACCTCTGACAGAGGGGGGAACTAGAATTTTGAAATATATAACTTAAAAGGGGTTTATCCATGTTTTACGACAACAGAGTGGGGAAATTTTTAAAAAAAAACGCCGATAATTTTTTAATTTGGGTGGTAACTCTGAAAATAATGTGATTTTTTAAAATCATAGTTGACCCCTCTTTTAAAGAGGTCAATTAAGGAAAATATTATTATATCTTTTTTTAAAAAAACTTTTTTAAAAAAAAGGGTTTTTTAAGTTAATTTTTTAAATATTTATTTAAAAAATTTTTTTTGTAAAATGTCTTAAAAAATTTTTTAATGTATTCTAATCAAAAGTGACACAAATTCATAAATATCCTTTTTTTTAAAACCCGGTTCAAAATTTTGGGAATATTAAAAAAATTCTAAAATTTTTAACTAAAATCATGCGCCAAATCAAGGAATCAAAAAAAAAGTTTGTTTATTCAAATATTTATTTATAAAAAAAACAGTCCAAAAATAGGTTATTGGCTGTCAGTATTAATATTATAAAATGAGTTATAAGCATTTAATTTTTATATATCATTGGCAAAGACAGAGAGTAAAACAAATTAATTCTCCTTATTTTGTAATTAAAATACTAAATTATTAATTTTTTTTTAAAAAATAAGAAAAGAAAGAAGGAAAGAAAAGAAATCCCCAACACGGCCACTTCAAATAATTTTGCATAAATACCAATAATGAAAAAAAAAAATAAATCATTTCTCAAAGTAGATTTAAATAAAATCAATGCTGCACAATCATTACTAAAATTGGAAAAATACATATTTTTGAATTTAAAAACATAGTTGGTTAGATCTCTTGGATACAATAATGTGTTCTCGGGAAAACATTTATTTTATCAACTTTTACTTTTAGTTATTCTTTTATTTTTTACGCAACTGTGTAACAAAAAAAAATTTTTTTTAGATTCTGATTTATGGTAATTCATTCATGCATTAGAGTCATTTTTACAAAACAAAACTTTTCTACATTATGCAAAACTGATTTTTTAACACAACGAAACATTCTTTTTCGGATGTTTCACACTTGTACTCGGGAGAATTTTATAAAAAATTGAGATTCTAACGCATAAAGTTTGTGCCTTAAGTTATGAATGAGTGTCCTAAGAATAAGAAAAAAATTTCACTGAATTTTTATATTTCTAACAACATATCACTTCATTACCATATTCAATTTCAGTAAAAATCCCGAAAAAATTTGAATTTTATCACAGGAAAAATTCCTACTATTTTAAACTTGTCATATATTCTGGTAAAAAAACCAAAAAAAAATAATTATTTAAGTATTCATTTTAACTGAATCTAAAAAAATTTTTTTCTGTAGCAGTGGCCCCCAAAGGGGGTCCCGGGGGCCCGGGCCCCCCCCCCCCAAAACCCTTGATTTTTTCCATTGGTTATAATTCTAAGTATATAATACGTAAAAATTACATATAAATTGATGTAAATAATTATACTTATTTATGTATTTTCGAAACGTGTGTAGATTTTTTTCATAATTTTTTTAAAAAAAATTTATTCAGAAACAAAACAAAAGTTACACTGTCCACCCCAAAGAAAATGTCTAAAAACAAACCAAACTCATTTATAACGATTTAAAATTAGAACTAATATATTGTTTATATTAGCTGAAATTGAAATATCATAAATCTAAAGCATTACAGTATGTGATGAATTCCTTTGCAATAAAAAATAAAAACTCTTGTAAAAACTTTTATCTGTTAAATTATTTTAGCCGGATGATTAAGTTCACCTTTATAGACAGTGAGCGTTTTTATATCCCTCTCTCTCTATATTTTAGTTTTTTTCCCTCTCTCTCTCTCTAACATGAGTCTCTAACATGAGTAAACACACATATGTAAGACTTTCAAC